TAGATCAGGCTCTTGTTATAAACCTGAGCTCTGATACCATAACAGAAAAAGAAACTTTGGCCATAACCATTAAAGCAAAAGAAGCCATTATTGAAAGAATTTTCAGATCTTGATTTGTGCTTGCGGCTATATGAGTGAACAAGGCTATATATAGCAACACAATACAACGAAGTCCTAATCTAAGAAACAATAAGAGAGTGGAAAGTGTACATGATTCCATGCAAGAAATGTAGTGAAAATGAGGACCAGAAAATGGTCACAATTTGATGAGCTGGGAGATTACATAAAGCTGGCAACACATGATCAATATGGCTTATTTGCATGAATATATTTTATCTATAATAAGCTAAAACCTTTTGAAATGATCCTTGACAGTTGAAGACTTGTGTGAAAACAATTGCGTGAAACAATTTTAACATAAAGAAAGAAAAAAAAAAAGAAAAAATATAAAAATCAGTGGTGGCTAAAAATGATTGCAATTTTAGTGCAACAGTGGTAGTTTCTCATTTTAAACCAGTAATTTAGTCGGATCCGAAATTTCTCTGTATTTTGTTCAAGAGCTTTTGACCAATTTCTCTGAATTTTAGCTCAGTAACTTCTAACTTCTTCATTTCTTCTTGAATTTCTCAGTATTTTGTTCAATTTTTTTTTTCAAACTACAGAAGATCTAGAACTTGTTTTTCTCTGTGGAGCTCGGGAGAAAAAAACCTCGGCCGATAACCTCCATTTTCAATCTCATCCAAACCCTAGATCCCCCGCCTCAATCCCTCGCCGGTAGCCCTCGTCGCCACAAGCGTGACCGCGTACAAAGAGTTCCTCAAGAACAATGAAGCGAGCATGGAGCCCATGTCATGGAAAGGTGCAAGGAGTTCAAATCATGCAGATATTTTCTGCAATTTTCTGTAATTTTCTGGCCTATTTACCTCGCGAGGCTATGAAGAGAGCTTGAATTTCGACCCAATTTTTTGTAATTTTTTATTTTGCTTAGCTGATTAGAGCTTGGATTTTTGTGCAAATTCCTTTTGTGTGGCATTTGATTTTTTTGGTGCTGAGATATTTTACTTCCTAGTAGACATGGCAAGTCGACCCGCCGAACAGGCTCGGAACCTCCCCGGAACTTGCCCGCACCACGGGTCTTGGAACCGGACCTGTAGTAAAACTGGGTCGATTTTGGGTCTTACTTTTTCATTTTGACCCGTCGGTTCTGGGCCGGAAGGCGGGTCATAGTTGTTTTTTATTTTTATTTTTACATTTTCTTTATTAAAATTGAACCACCTGGTCGGGCCGATTTATTAACCTACCCTTAGATATAGCCGGGCCAGTTTTGGTCCCAGCATTTGAGGCCCGCCGATCGGGGTCATGAATCAGCGCGGCCTTTGGACACGTCACTTCCTAGTCCTTGTGAGTTTGATT